GAAGCTTTTCAAGGTTATCACAAAAAAGAGGCCAGATGAGGGGCTCTTACCTTCACTAAATGAGAGGAAAGGGCATAAGCAGCGTGTTCAAGCCCTGCATGGGCCTCCAGCACCGCCTGACTCTTGGTAAAGATTTCTGTGCTCTTGTTTCTAAGGAAAACAGCAACGTCCACAGTCTATTACACTTTTATAAAACTGTTCAAAGGTACTTTTCTATTGTCATTTTTAAAAATAAAGTGCTTATTTCAGCTGTAACACCTATGCTTGCTTTTTGTGAGATAACCAAGTGCATTGATTCTTGAGCTAACAACTAAAGGAGGAAAGAGCTAGGAATGGGGAACCAGGTAGATTCACATACCTCCTTGACACCTTTTACTGCAATCACCTACTCTACTACATCTCCTCCTAGCCTACAAAGTCTTAGCTCAAGATTTGAAATCTGGTAAAGGATTGTTTATAATTTTCTCAACATAGGAAAATAAAAGTATTTTACTAACCTCTGTCCAATTACAAGTAATGTCAGTAACGATAGGTGAGTCTGGTGCATTGACAGCATTTGGTTCTGTAGTTTGGCTCTCACTCCTTTCAAGCGAAGACCATCCACTAAAAGCGTGTCACAACCTTGCAATACCTTGGCATAATGGTAGAAAACCAACGCAACTTGCTCAGGTATATCCCTCCACTAGCTCTAGGACAGGCTTGATCAAGTTGCTTTGCCTTCAGCAGACCTGTAGCCTTCCAAGTCAGAGGCTCCAGAGAAAGGCCAAACAGCCTAGGAACTGAGGACAGCTCACCCTGAAGGAAACTTACTGCCTCTCCAGCCTATCTTGGAGCACCCCATCCCCTTCGCTGACTGAACACAACCACTTCTATATGCTATTTCAGAGTGTTGGGACGGATGACCTAATGCCTGCCCCATCACTGCTGATGGTCACTAGTGATGTGTAAATGAAAATCTAGTATGAACTATAAATATTCCCACTGACCAATCTGACACAAACTTCATTAAAGAAAACCTTTTCTGTCATTCTATTGAGCAGGAATGCCGTATCTTGGAATTAAAAAACTTGGGATAATAAAAGGGCATGTCTGTACCTTCTTGCTTTACCTGCACTATGTCCTGATGTGTAGGCTCCAGAAAGAGAGTAACTACCATTTTAAAAATGTCCTTACAGGGCCTCCCTGGTGGCGCAGCGGTTGAGCGCTGGGTTGCGAAGCTGCCCGCGATCTCTGCGGTGCCGGTTCGATCCCCGGCTGCTCCCCAGCCACCGGAGGAGGGTCCCACATGGTGCGCAGACCTCTCCTGCCGCCCGCTGCTCCCCTCAGCAGTGTACTTCGGCCCTTCTGCCTGTTCTGCTCCCCACTCTGGCTCTGGTGAATTCTGTCACCCTCCCGCGCTTCTGACTGTACCCAGTGCATGTATAAACAAACAAACAAATAAATAAATAAAACATGCCTCTATACCTATTCCTTTTTTAATTTTAAAAAAATTTAAAAAAAATAATAAATAAATAAATAAATAAGTAAATAAAAATGTCCTTACAAGTGAACCCACCATTGGTAGGGAAGATATGCCACAACAAAGACTAATGTAGCTATAAAACTGGCATTTGAAATTAAGTACTTTAACCTCTGTAATAAAATTACAACTTAAAAGATTTTGGGAAAGAATCTTAAAATTTGCTGAAAGTTAAACTTCAAAGTTACTGAACCCCAGTACTTACAGATGTCAGACTTGCCTTCATCTTTGCGGTTCCCCCAAAACTGCACCAAGTTGTATACATAGAATATTCTTGAAAATGAAGGAGGCAAGGCTGACATCCCTGAATTCTGTATTAATACACAAGAATTCTTGACATCTGTGTCAGACAAGAATCAGCTTCATTTCTGTATAGTTATTTCTGAGTGCTCTGGGCAAAGAATGCTTAATGCTAGGAATATGAACAGATTTTCTACTGTGTATCACCAGGGCATCCAGGACTATGATACTAAAAAGCTACATGCATTCAGCTCAATGATTAAGGCCCCTGAATTAGGAAAATATTTGAACTTCCATAGTAAAAGCTCTGTCCGCCACTGCTATATAACATCCTAGTTAAAAATTAAATCCTATCTAAACTCTCCTGGTTCTACCCTAAGTCCCCAAAGATGGCAGTATGGTATGAGAAATCTTTATCTTCTACACCTCACCAATGATCCCCAAGGGTTCTATTTTCCAGTGCTTCCAGAGTCCAAACTACACTGATTCCTGCTTTATAGGAGAGAAACACAAAAAGCTGTTTTTACAAACTGTAACATAATATGCTCATAAAGATAACCATGAAACCTTCCATTCTCCATTGTGCACACACAGTACTGGCTTAAAATTCAAGTATAATAACACTTTGCCCATACCAACATGAAATTAGAAAATGAAGCCCAAAGCTTAAATGCAAGCCAAGTTTGTCTTCTGACCAAAAAGATAACCTAAATGGAGTGAGTTTATGTATTTACTTGGAAGGAAAAAATAATTCTTCCCTAAAGCTAGAATGCACACCTGGGTTTCAGGGACTCAGCAAGATAGTTCAAAATCACAATAGGTACAAAACTTAACCATCTTCTTAGCATATCTAAAGCAGGTCCCACCAAAATCAGGACATGGGAAAACCTCCATTGTTTACTAGTTCCTTCTGTTAGTATCCTGTGTTTTACTTATTTTAAAATATTTTAAAATATAAGTCTACATTATATGTCCTTTGATTTACAAGCCTGCAAAGTACTTGGGCAGCTGAAAGGCACTGGGTTATCACAGGGTCTTGAAACCAAATGGCTCAAGTCACAGGGGAGCTAGATTAGTGCTAAGGGCTGATGTCCAGAGAGGCCTAGGACCACAGAAGGAAGGTCACCAGGATAATGCCAGTGCCATTACAGCTGTGTTTCCAGTGTGCACTCTCCACACAACAAACAACCGGACAGGGCAATGTGCTTAAGGTACAATTAGTCTGAGACAGTTTCCAACAAGAGGTCATTGGGCCCACCCACCCCTCTGCTGCCTCACACAGAACACCTATTCCTCAGGACAAGCCCACAAAATACACACTGAGAAATAATAGACTGTTCTTACATGAAGCCCCGAGGATGATGGAGATAACAGGTCATGGCTACTGTCTACACGCACAGCACTCCCATCTTGTTAGAGAGCAATGATGATGGTCTAGGCTTGAAGAACAGTCAATAAGAGTAGCAAACACCAAATCTTCCCCAAGATTGTGTCACTTGCAAGGAAAAATAGTTGCTAGAGGGAACATTTGGTCTCACCCCCCTTTTTTTTTTTAAGATTGATTTATTGGGCCTTCCCTGGTGGCACAGGTGGTTGAGCGCTATGCTGTGAAGCTGTCCGCAGCCTCTACACCACCGGCTCAATCCCGGCCAGCCAGCAAGGGTCCCACATGGCGCGGCAGACCTCTCCTGTCTCGCCCACTGCTCCCCTCAGCAGTGTATTTCGTCAGTCTACCTGTTCTGTTCCCCATTCTGTCTCTGGTGAGTCCTCCCACCCTCCCATGCATCTGGCCTGTACCCCGGGGTTCTTGCATAAATAAATCTTTAAAAAAGAAAAAGATTGATTTATTTATGCGTACAAAAACTGGGGTACAGGCCAGAGGTGCAGGAGGTGAGAGGATTCACCAGAGATAGCGTGGGGAGCAGAATAGGCAGACTGACTGAAATACACTGCTGTGGGGACCAGCGGGCGAGTCAGGAGAGGTCTGTTACGCCATGTGGTATTTCCCTGGCCTGGGATTGAACTCTTGCTGCAGTGGCTACGAATAGCTTCATAGGTTGCACCTTAACGTTAACCCCTGCGCCACCAAGGAGGCCATGAGTCTTACCTAAGCCTCAAAAAAATCCTTTTTATCTGTTAAGAACTGGAGAATTTATAAATCCAGATACAATGTCCCCACATTCAGACTGTGTTTTCTGCCTGTTAACTTCAAATAGGTCACAAGAGAAAGCAAGGGTTGTGCTCTCCCTATGAACACTGGAACTGGAAATAACAGAATGTCCCTCCATTGCATTTTCACTAATACTCCACCACCATCTTAGAGGATGTAACAACAGCAGCCAAATATTTGCTTTTTATACTTTGTCTAGGCTCAACTACATTTCTCTTAGCTATGCCCTAAAAGCCTCAAATGATTTATGAATTATAGATAGAATGCACTAAAAACTGTCTTACCCTTTTAATTCACCCACCATGTCCATTTCTACCTATGGCCATTTCTCTAAATGGCCAGCAGATTCAGCAAAAATGGGCAGAGCTGAGAATATGACTTCAACTTCAACCTGATTGTCTTCTTCTTTTTTTTTTTTTTTTAGATTTTTTTTTTTTTATTTATTTATACAAGCACTGGGTACAGTCAGAAGCGCGGGAGGGTGAGAGAATTCACCAGAGCCAGAGCGGGGAGCAGAGCAGGCAGAAGGACTGAAGTACATTGCTGAGGGGAGCAGCAGGCGGCAGGAGAGGTCTGCGCACCATGTGGGACCCTCCTCTGGTGGCCGGGGAGCAGCCGGGGATCGAACCGGCGCAACAGAGGCTGCGGGCAGCTTCGCAACCCAGCGCTCAACCGCTGCGCCACCAGGGAGGCCCTCAACCTGATTTTCTGATGGCTATGTCTTTAGACAGCAGAAAGAACTGGTGCAAGACTCCTCTCTCTACTATCATCTTCAAACACAGTTGGGCTCCTATCACAATTTTCCTAAGAAATATATAAAGGAATTTCTTTTCCATGTAGCAGGAAAAGGAGATCAAGGCTTAATAAAAGAAAACACAAATAAGGCAAAGCTATAGAATTTGTGAGTAATTAATTTAACAAGATACTTCATTTCTCCAGACCTCAATTTTGTCATTTCTGAAATAAACAAGATAAATGAAATGAATTGTAAGGCCAGTTCATAAAGAACTGATAAACAAAGGCTTAGCTAGAAACTACTACTAATATAAAACTGGTAGTAAAACATCTTACCTTTGAACCTGTGACAGAGGAAGTGGTGTCTGTTTCCACACAAAACATGAAGTGTTTGAGATGTCCAAAATTTATCTGCAGACCTAGCTCACAAAACAGGATGGTGCCTAGACCACAAAAAGCAACCAGCTCCAGCCTTTTTTTTTTTTTAATAACAGAAAAACTAGTTTTATGACATAACACATTAAAGTTTCTCCTTACCAGCAGAAACCTCTGCTATAAAGAAAGACAGGCTGTCTGCCATGTTCTAAATTATGCCCAGAAGTCTCCAACTTCTATCAATATCTTCTCATGCTGTGTTTTGGAGCTTGGATATAAGAAAGTAAGATGTCACTGTAAATGAATGAGAAGCATATAGAAAGGATAAAAAGAACACAGCAAAAAGGCCCCTTGTCATTTGCACAAAGTCCTTACTGCTTTGGGTTACCATTATGCTTTTTTTGAGAACACTGAACCTTGTTTCTATAATCTGCTAGAATTTTCAATTTATGATAGGGAGACCAACAATGAACCCAAATAAGCCCAACAGACTACATAACAAGCACAGATAAGGAAAAAGGATAGTTTGCCAAAGGCTAAAATGACTACAGAGACTTCTCTTAAGTCACCATAACTAAGAATCCGCACATATTTGACAATGACTCCCATGAGCTCACCAATGACGGGGAGAAAAAGGTGTCTCCACCAGAAGAACCTCAGGGTCAAGTTCCATGAAGGGTGACATGGGAAAGCTGATGTTCAGGTTGGCAAGAAGACTCTATCCATCCTTGCTGCAGAGGGCCAGACTATTACTTGTAAAGTCCAAGAGGCTAAAACCAGTTTAACTTTTCAAAAGAAAATATTAAATATTACATGTAGTGTATCTTTATTGCTTCACTTGTAAATAAGAGACACACCTTATCATCCAATTGTGAAATCCCTATGCTCAGCAACACATCACTGGTCACACAGGTCACAATCTTCAACAATATCCCAGACATGAGCCCTTGAAAGTCTAAGACAAGAGCTGTCTACTGCTGTGACCAAATGGAAAGAAACAAACTGAATTCACAATCTAAGAGCACCTCCTACAATTTTATTATAAATATGTTCTTTTAGCGCACACAAGACTTTGATAACTTGTTCTAAAGTAATAAAAGGAAAAATGGAACCAGAGACAACTTTCAAGAGAAAAAGCAAAGACACCTGCATTCCATGCTAAGCGTCTTCACTATCCAAGCCTCAAGAAATAACAGGTTAACCAGGAGTATCATACTTCTCATTGGCCATTCAATTAAATTTGAATTTGAATTTGTATGTAAACTGGAACTGTTCCTCTCTTCAGTCCTAAGGAACAGAATGGGAAGAGAGTCTTCAGATCACAGCATCAACAAGAAAGATCTTGACTTTCCATCTGTAACTCTGCTCACAGACAAAACTGCTCACTATTTGCTAGGTTGAATATCAGAGTAGTCCTTTAGCACTCCAGCCATGTGTTCGTTATGAGTCTTAAACCGTCGCTTTTTCTGTGAAGCAGGCTTTTTCCTTCTCTGAATTGGGGCCTACAAAGAAAGATAAAAAAGGTCACTAGTCAGAGAGGTAGTATGGTAAGGAGTTACCAAAGATGCCCAGAAACCAACAGCAAAGAGAGGCAGGAATTTTGGTCTTTATCTCTTCTTTGTAGCACATCATCATACACATCAACCCATAGCATGCTTCCCAACTGCAATCCAGAACTGGTACCTTCTATTGCAGTGAAGAAAAAATGGGTTGGCAAAAAAACATGCCAGAACTACACGAGGCGCTACATAGATAAAAAGAGACACAGGAGGGCCTCCCTGATGACCTGGGGTTAAGTCTCAGCGCTCTCACAGCTATGGCCCGAGTTTGATCCCTGGCCATGGAACTAACCCACATATGGAGCAGCAGACCTGTTCTGCTCCCCACTCTGTCTCTTGTGAATCCTCTCACCTCCCCCAACCTAAAAACAATACTATCTGGTCCCTAAGGGATATGAAAGTAAATGACAATTTAATGTGATCAGGCAGGACTGAGGCAGAGCCAGGCACCAAGACCAAGAGGCTCCTGGAACAAGGATGAGGAGATTTTAAAGGGCAAGGGCCTCCCCAGTGGCACAGCGGTTGAGCGCTGGGTTGCGAAGCTGCCCGCAGCCTCTGCGGCACCGGTTCGATCCCCGGCTGCTCCCCAGCCACAGGAGGAGGGTCCCACATGGCGCGCAGACCTCTCCTGCCGCCCGCTGCTCCCCTCAGCAGTGTACTTCGGTCCTTCTGCCTGCTCTGCTCCCCGCTCTGGCTCTGGTGAATTCTCTCACCCTCCCGCGCTTCTGACTGTACCCAGTGCATGTATAAACAAAAACAAAACAAACAAACCAGCAAACAAATAAATAAAGCATGCCTCTAAAAAAAAAAAAAAAAAAAAAAAGATTTTAAAGGGCAAGATGAGAAAGCTGGCTCCTGTTAGAAGCTTAAAGAGGTAATAGGCGGGTACTAGAAAAGAGTTTGGTACGGCTGGAGCTTAAGAGTAGGACGGGGCAGGAGGGATGATGGGGAAGTTCTCACATGACTAGAGGGCCTGAGACAAAGACCTGGCACTCAATAAAGGAGACATGATCTGGTTTGCATCTGACCAAGATCACTAGATTAGGACACCTAGAAAAAAACTGAAGGAAGAACTGACTACCTGGGGGCCTCCCTGGTGGTGCAGGGGTTAAAGTCTCAGCACTATCAAGCTATTGCCAGCCACAGCATGAGTTTGATCCCTGGCCAGGGAGCTGACTCACAAGGCACAGCAGACCTCTCCTGTCTTGCCCACTGCTCCCTTCAGCAATGTATTTCAGTGGATCTGCCTGTTCTGCTCCCCACTCTGTCTCTGGTGAATCCTCTCACCCACCGTACCTCTGGCCTGTACCCCAGTTCTTGTATGCATAAATAAGTAAAAATAAATCTTAAAAAAAAAAAAAAAGAACTGATTACCTGATCTTCAGAAAGCAAAACAGGAAGCAGACTAACACTTCAAAGAACAGAGGATTACATTTTTTCCCCTAGAGATTACATACCACTTTCTTTGGTCCAGAATCTTGCATGGAAGAAATACCCTGTCGTTTCAGATAGTCCTCAATTTTCTCTTCATCCATTGAATCCACGGTGACACTCCTCCACAGTTTCTGAAACTCTGTGCCAACAAAATAGTAGTTATTTTACAAAAGATATCTATAAGCTAAACATGATCAAAATCCAAGCTATAATTATTATTTCCTCAGGTCTAAATTAGCACATCTGAAATTTCACTATAAAAACCAAAGATGTAAGATAAGAACATTCAAATACAGAAACCCTAGAAGCAGAAGGGCCTGGGAACATGAACTACATCATTTCAGACCAGATCAGCAGTAGTCTATTTTTAGAGTTATAAACAAAGGTGCTGTGACTGAGGCCTCCTGCTTTCCTGGGGGGGAAAAAAAAAAAGCAGTTGACAGACACTCTCCTTTTGTTCCAAAGCTCCAATCGCTCCACTGAAATAATTTCCTGCTCATCACCCCTGTGCTTAGTCAATTTATTTTCCTTCCTACAGGTAAAAATAAACATGTAGGGAGACTAGGAACCAAAATGTTTTATGGGAATGAGGAGCAATAAGAATAACCTGTGGTTAGTGAATAAGAAGTCAGGGGATAGAGGGGAGACGCTTAGCTACATTCCTAGAAAACAAAGGAGAAAGACGCTCCACTTGACTTACATCTTGTCCTAAGAAACCATGGTCCCTCTGTCACATCACTATTTTTGCAACAAAAATATATCACAACTGGGAAATGAAACTAATTTCTGCATCTTAAATTCTGCCCCTAGAGACATGCTCAAATAACCAAGTTTCACGTCATTATCAACATTTACTTTCAAACACGAAAAATGTCATAATAGCAAATTATAAGGGGCCTCCCCGGTGGCACAGCGGTTGAGCGCTGGGTTGCGAAGCTGCCCGCAGCCTCTGCGGCGCCGGTTCGATCCCCGGCTGCTCCCCGGCCACCAGGGGAGGGTCCCACATGGCGCGCAGACCTCTCCTGCCGCCCACTGCTCCCCTCAGCAGTGTACTTCGGTCCTTCTGCCTGTTCTGCTCCCCGCTCTGGCTCTGGTAAATTCTCACCCTCCTGCGCTTCTGACTGTGCCCAGTGCATGTATAAACAAAACAAAACAAACAAATAAAAAAAAAGTTCCCTGAGCAATCTCATGCTATTTGCTCCAGCTTCATCCACACAAAAACATGCCTCCTGAAGGCATCTGCAGATTCCTAATCAAGGCAGTGATGAACCAACCCCTTGTTGCATTCCAGGGCCATTAGCTTTTTTGTAGGCTGCCCACATGATTCATTCACAAGCCATAAATCAAGTAGGCACATAATACTGCAAGGAAGATTTTTCTCCTTTCTCCTATTTTCCTCTTCCTCTTTCTCTTTCATATTTTAATACATACTCATGAAGCAAATGTCCAAACAGATGGGACCCTACTGATACTTAAGAAATGTGCTACCTATGACACACTGAAGAGCTTTTTGTTGATGATGACTAAATGCAAAAATGATATATGCTACAAAAATTTCAACTTGGACACAAAGTTATTTAAATCCAAAACATCTCTAAACAAAAACTTCTAAATTTCTATTTTTTTTTAAGATTTATTTATGCATACAAGAACTGGGGTACAAGCCAGAGGTGTGGGGGGTGAGAGGATTCACCAGAAACAGAGTGGGGAACAGAAACAGGCAGACTGACTGAAAGACACTGCTGAGGGGAGCAGTGGGCAAGCCAGGAGAGGTTTGCTGTGCCATGTGGGTAGCTCCCTGGTTGGGGATCGAACCCGTGCTGCAGTGGCTGTGGATAGCTTCATAGGTTGTGTTTTAACCCCCTGCGCCACCAGGGAGGCCCCCTCGATAGATGTTTGGCGCTCTTTAATATACCCACTGAACCTTTATCTACATACATTATGTAAATAATTTAATGGATTACAACTTTTTGTATGACTTTCTCAGCTTCCTGAATGGCAATAGCATTTCAAGAAAAGAACATGCTATTTTCTATTGTCTAGGCACCAGAGTGCTAGTGCTTACATTTTTTTTTTTAAGATTTATTTATTTATACAAGCACTGGGTACAGTCAGAAGCGCGGGAGGGTGAGAGAATTCACCAGAGCCAGAGCAGGGAGCAGAGCAGGCAGAAGGACCGAAGTACACTGCTGAGGGGAGCAGCGGGCGGCAGGAGAGGTCTGCGCGCCATGTGGGACCCTCCTCCAGTGGCCGGGAGGCAGCCAGGGATCGAACCGGTGCCGCAGAGGCCGCGGGCAGCTTCGCAACCCAGCGCTCAACCGCTGCGCCACCGGGGAGACCCGGAGAATTGAACTCTTTATTGATTAATGTTCTTCTTTATCTTTGGTAATTTTCGTTTTGAAGTCTACTTCGTCTGATATTTATACAGTCATTCTAGCTTTCTGATAACTACTGTTTGCAAGGTAAATCATTTTACAGCCACTTAGCTTTAACCCATGTCTTCTAAAGTGAGTTTCTTACAGATACATTTATACTGGAGTCCTGCTTTTATATCCAATGTGAAAGCTGTCATAACTATTATAAATGACATATCTGTCTTAATATATGTACATAGTTTTAAAGTAAAGAAAAAGGTACGCTAGATGATTTAGTATCTTAAGACAAAAATGTCATAATTACTGATTTCCGCTTAACATAATTATTAATATAGGTAGAATATGGGCCTCCCCTGGTGGTGCAGCGGTTGAGCACTGGGTTGCGAGGCTGCCCGCGCAGCCTCTGCAGCGCCAGTTCGATCCCCAGCCTCCGGCGAGGGTCCCACATACACAAAAAAAATATATAGGTAGAATAAAATCTACCTCCTTGCTCATTATTACTCCATTTCCATTTACTTTTTACCCCTTATGTTCTATGTTCAATTGGAATAACTGAATATATTTTTATGATTCTCTTACCTCTATTACTGCCTTATTACTTATACTTTGAGATATATGACAAATAACATTAGTTTTAGGTGTATAAAAGCACAATGATTTGATATATGTATATATTACAAAATGATTACCAAAGTTTAGTTAACATACATTACCATACATAGCTACAAATACTTTTTCTTGTGATGAGGACTTTTAACATTACCTCTCCCAGAAACTTTCAAATGTACAATACAATATATTAACCACAGTGGCTTTTTTAAAGAACAGTTTTAGCAGTTGTCCTACGGTTTACAATATACACATATAATAAATCAGAGCAGACTCTGAAGAAAATTATACCAGTTAATAAATTTTATTTCTTTTTTTAAAGATTTATTCATTTATTTATACAAGAACCGGGTACAGGCCAGAGTTGCTGGGGGTGAGAGGATTCACCACAGAACAGGGAACAGAACAGGCAGAGCTACAAAAATACACTGCTGAGTAGAGCAGCGGGTGAGACAGGAAAGGTCTGCCGCTCGATGTGGGACCCTCGCCGGCCGGCAGGGATCGAACCAGCGCTGCAGAGGCTGCAGACAGCTTCAGTGCTGCGCTCAACCGCCTGCGCCACCAGGAAAGGCCCAGTTAATAAATTTTTTAAAAATTATACCAGTTAACAGAGTGTTAAAGATCTTTTAATAGCATACTTCCTCTGTTGACCTGAGTTACTGACATAAATTTTACTATAAGGTATGCTCTAAGTATAAAATACATTTCTTAATATATTTGCTTTATAGTCAGCTGTTTTCAGAGTAATTAAAAATGAAAATTTAACAAAATTTTAACTAGAAAATTGTAAATTTTATATTTACCTTTATTCCATTTAGTTGTATATGGGCCTAAGTTGTATAGGTCTAAGTTACTATCAATTATCCGATGCTTTTTGTATGAGGAACTTCTTTAATATTTCTGGTAATGCAGGGCTGATGACAACAAATTCTTTCTCTGAGAGTGAAAGAACTACTATGATAAGAGTATTTCTCCATTTTTGAAGGATTCTTTTTGCAGAGTACAGAATTCTGGGTTGAAAACTTTCCCCTTCTGGTCCTTTAAAGATGTCACTACCATTTTTTGGATTGCATGGGTTAAAATAAAATCTGCTATAATTCTTTTTTCCTCTGTAATAAACACTTTCAGTACCTTCAATATTTCATCATCAATTTTCAGTAGCTTGAATGGTACACCTATATACTTTTGTCCAGATTATCTTGCTTCCCTTCTCTGAGTTTATTTGAATCTTTGGTTTAGAGGATCTCATTAATTTTGGGATATTTTTGGCCCTTGTTTTTCTATTCCATTCTGTTTTACTCATGAGATTTTAATTATATACTCAGACCATTAGATATCATGTCAATTGGATGCTCTTATATTTTTCACATTTTTCTTGTTGCATTTCAGTTTAGATAATTTGTATTGACCTATTTTCAAATTTGCCTATTTTTCCCCCTTGATTACCAATTGTACTTAATGAGTTTATTGAAGGCATTCTTTACTGAAGTCTGTTACTGTGTGATCTTCATTTCTGGAATGTTCATTTGTCTCTCTCTGCTGAAATAACCTACCTAATCATGAATTCTGTCTGCCTTTCCATTGGAAGTCTTAACATATTAGTTATTTTATATAGAAATATATTCCTAAGAATTTGCTTCCTCCCTTGTCTCAATAGTGTGTTGCTTTTCCTTGTTTTATGCTTCGTAATTTTTTTCAAAGCAGGATATCCTCTGTGAGACAGCTGGAAACCAAGGTAAATTGTTTATGTGCCTGGACGTGGGCACGCCTTTCCTGCTGGTAGGCCTTCAGTGTGTGGAAGCCGAGTCACTATTTTCTGAGTATGAGCAGCAATCTGTTGATAACTGTGGTTACTCAGAGTGAGCCACAGATTCAAATTGTTCTAGTTATACCTTATGTTTAGGTTAGAGGCTCATTTCAGAGGATTGTTCTCAGTGTCTGCTTGGCCTATGGTTTCAGGTATTCCCTTTATGCTGCACCTGATGTGATCTGTCTGCCTCCACACTTTGGCAACTCTCAAGCAATGTCAGCCACCTGTCACTGGTCTGTTTGCTGGCATGAAGTGGGTATTTTAGGCAAGCACTGTGTTCCTTGGTTTCTGGGAGGTGGCCCTCTCAGTGCTCCTGCCTGTTTTTCCCTGGGCTAAAGTTCTGGG